GGTACCATTTAAATGGTTGTACATTAGTTAAAATCATATCATTTGAACAAACAAAACAAAGTAAAGAGGATTTTAAAATAGGTCTTTGTATGAAGACATCCTCACCTGAGAATTTTAGCTCTGCAGAGTCACTGGGTACTGACCATACGTAGGGATTGCCCTTGTTATACCCATAACACCTAAACTTCCACTTGTGGCTGGGGCTCATAGGGCCCATAGGAAACAGTGCCTGCACGTGCCCATTTGGATGTCTGTGTGCATCATGAGTCCAGGAGAGCTTGTTTTCTCCCTCCTCAGCCAGAATGAAGGTGTCAAACCCCAAGAATGACACACATTGGAAGGTCATGTTCTCTCCTGGAGTCACCATAGAACTTGGCAAGACTGAAAGTCTTGGTTTACTATAAACTCCTAGGAGAGAAGGAGGCAAGGTAATAAAGGTTTCACATAGCCCAGTTGTCCCTTCCATGTGTCTGTGCTGTGGGAGGGAGTTGGATCCCTGGGTATCCTCTTACCTGTCACCACCAGCTCCAGCATGTCACTGTGCTCTGAAAAACAAGCAGTACTCTCATAGTAACAGTGATATTGTCCTGCATGGAGCTCTGTTGTAGATGAAATGAAGAACTTGACCTTGCTTCCAGGCTCCAGCACGGTCTGTCTATATATGGGTTTTGTCATTCCTTTTTTATTAAGATAGTACTCCTGTGCCTCCAAGATCCCTTGACATAAGATGGTCACAGACTTCCCCCAAGAGATCATAGAACCTGGCTCAGCCCAAAGGATGGGTGGTGGGAGTATTCCTGAAAAAAATTCGAAGGTTGGGTCCCATTATATCACTCCTCTTATTGCACTTGGAACCTTCCAGACTCCTCCAGATCAGCTCTTTCCTCCCCACCCCACCCCGTTCCCTATCTTCAAGTACAAGACAGTATTTGTTGTTCCTTATAAGGATGATGGAGTTGGGACAGCTGGTAAGTTACTCACCATTTTGCACGTGGGTACTGGAATTCAGACTCAGGCCTGGAAGAGAGTTTGATATAAGATATTTGCCTTCCAAATTCTCAACATGTTGCATTCTCCTAAGAGCTCCCAGCATTCCTGAAATCTCCTTAGAGATATGGATCTTATTATCAAACAAGGAAATTCTCAGATTACAATGTTCCTTCCACTTCTTCAAATCTCACCAGTGTAAAACAGGATAGTAAGGATGATTATCATGATATTTCCTCCTGCAGGTTCAAATCCACAGATAAATGAGACCATAGTGTGTGGCAGAGCTCAAAGACATACAAGATTTGGCCACTGCAGGGCCTGTGCTTTGTATCATAAGGTTTCTAATTTCAAAAAGAGGAAATATCTCCTCCAAGGTGGCAGGCTTTCATTTCCCCTGTCTTGTGGCTAGATTAAGTACCAAACTTGTTTCTGACAGTAACAATCCCACAAAGGCACATCTAATGCCTGCTTTAGTTCTTTTCAATCCCCTGACATTAAACAATAGCTACAAATAGAATTTCTCTGTTCCTGAGCCAACCAGCTCTCAGTAAACATAATTAAGGCTGGTCAATCCCTCTCAGAGCATCCCCTAAGGTGTCCTTTCTCATTCTTTTCTGCAATCCCCCACACAGCACTGTGTGGTCCTTGCCGTGGCCAGTCACCTACCCAGAAGGAGATATAATTATAGACAGACATAAATTGATGCCACAGGTAGGTGCAAAACAGAGATAAATCCAGTGCCTGATTCTTTGGTTTATATGGAATCATTCTGAAAGTCTTATATCTATTACTTATATATAATAGGTTAAATATTTACTCTCACAGATATCTGGCCAATTCAAGAGGTCTTCTTCCCTTCTATCATATATGCTATCTGCCACTGTCTAGTCTGCAGTAAACCATAGATGAGATGAGACATTGGAGAGAATTGAGTGGTTGTTCCTCTCTTTTCTAAGTTGACTACAAGAAATGGTAGGACCATACAAGATGTAAGGCTGCAGGAAAAGGATATTTGAGACCTTGCAAAACATATTTAATTCAAGAAAGGTGGCTAACTTTCCTCTCAGGGGGTATTTAAGTTAAAACAGTACACAAACTTAAAATGCTTCTGAGCATTTGAAAAAGACAGCTACAGTATATTCCAATTCAGAATGCTGTAGTAGTAATGGTAATACATACATCAATTTTAACTCTATTATAAATGTTAAAGGACAGAAGTATTATATAAACAGCAACTGCAGCAAAGTCTTCATGGATTGAAGTTTTATAAACTACCTAAAGTACATAGAGGCACAGCATCAAACAGGACTTTATTCTCAGAATTTAAGTCCAATAATTGAAAGGTTGGAGTGCAGGAAACCAAAATGCTTCTGTATAGCAAATGAAAAAGTCATCTGGATAAGAAAAAGTCCCCACAGAATGGGAGAAAATCTGGTAGGATATTCATGCCTAGAATAAACAAAGAAGTAAAAAAACCAATACATTGTAAAGACAAATATCCCAATTAAAAGTGGGCTATAAGAAAGGGAGGGAAACCCCATAGGAAGATCAGCAGTCTCAACTAACTTGGACCCTAGGTGTTCCCAAAGACTAAGCCACCAAACAGGCTGCATATGTGGGCTGGTCGAAGGCCCTCAGCACATATATAGAAGAATACTGCCTGACCTGACCTCTGTGGGAGAAGATGAGCCTAATCATCAAGAGACTTGAGGCCCCAGGGAAGGGGGAGGCCTGGTGCAAGGGAGCACCCTCTTGGAGGCAAGGAGAAAGAGGAATTGGATGAGGAACTGTACGAGGAGTTGTGGGAGGGGTAATAGCTGTAATGTAAATAAAATAAATTTTAAAAGTGGGCTGCAAATCTGAAACAAATTCTCAAAAGAAGAAATGAAAATGGATAATAATTATTTAAAAGTTCTCAGTGTCGTTAGATATCATGAAAATGCAAATTAAAACTACCTCAGCACCCGAGTGACCTCAGTGCCCAAGCACTGAGCAGACCTTGGGCTTCAACTCTAACCCCAGCAGCAACATGCACCCCAAACAGTTCTGACACAACCAATATAATAGGAAAGACAGGTTCCAGTCAGAGAAAGAACAGGTAGCAGTAAAGATAACCAGATGGTAAAGGGCAAGCACAAGAACATAAGCATCAACAACCCAGGGCACTTGGCATCATCAGAACCTAGTTCTCCCACAATAAAAAGTCATGAATACCCCATCACAACAGGAAACCAAGATTCAGATTTAAAATTGATTCTAATGATGATGATAGAGCACTTGAAAAAGGACATAAATAACACTCTCAAAGAATTTGAGGAGAACACAGGTAAACAGGTAGAAGCGCTTAAAGAGGAAACACAAAAATTCCTTAAAGAATTACAAGAGAACACAACCAAACAGGTGGAAGAACTGATCAAATCCATCGAGGACATAAAAATGGAAGTAAAAAAAATAAATAAAGTAATCACAAAGGGAGACTATCCTGGAGATAGAAAATCTAGGAAAGAAATCAGGAGTCATAGGTGCAAGCATCACCAACAGAATACAAGAGATAGAATCTCATGTGCAGAAGATATCATAGAAAATATTGACACAATTGTCAAAGAAAATGTAAAGTGCAAAAAGTTTCTAACCCAAAAACATCCAGGAAATCCAGGACAGAATGAGAAGACCAAACCTAAGGAAAATATGTATAGAAGAGAGTCAAGATTCCCAATTATAGAAGAAAACTTCCCTAACCTAAAGAACAAGATGCCCATAAACATACAAAAAGCCTACAGAATGCCAAATAGACTAGACCAAAAAAGAAATACCTCCTGTCACATAATAATCAAAACACCAAATACACAAAACAAAGAAAGAATATTAAAAACAGTAATGGAAAAAGGCCAAGTAACATATAAAGGCAGACCTATCAGAATTACACCAGATTTCTCACCAGAGACTATAAAAGCCAGAAGATCCTGGACAGATGTCATACAGACCCTAAGAGAACACAAATGCCAGCCCAGGATACTATACCCAGCAAAACTCTCAATTACCATCGATGGAGAAACCAAGATATTCCATGACAAAACCAAATTTACACAATATCTTTCCACAATCACAGCACTACAAAGGATAATAGAGGGAAAACTCCAATACAAGGAGGGAAATTAAACCCTAGAAAGAGCAAGAAAGTAACCTTCCTCCAACAAATCCAAAAGAAGATAGTCATACAAACATAATGCCACCACTAATAACAAAAATAACAGGAAGCAACAATCTCCTTTCCTTAATATCTCTTAACATCAATGGAATCAATTCCCCAATAAAAAGACATAGACTAATGGACTGGATATGTAAACTGGACCCAGCATTTTGCTGCATACAGGAAACACATCTCAGTGACAAAAACAGACATTACATTAGAGTAAAGGGCTGGAAAACAATTTTTCAAGCACATGGTACTAAGAAACAAGCTGGAGTAGCCATTCTAATATGAAATAAAATCAAAATTTGACTTAAAGCTATCAAAAAGGATAAGAAAGTACATTCCACACTCGTCAAAGGAAAAGTCATCCAAGATGAACTCTCAATTCCGAACATCTATGCGCCAAATGCAAGGGTACCCACTTTCATAAAAGAAACATTACTAAAGCTCAATGCACACGTTGCACCTCACACAATAATAGTGGGAGACTTCAACACCTAGTGTCAGCAAAGGACAGATCATGGAAACAGAAACTAAACAAGAGATACAGTGAAACTGACAGAAGGTATGAACCAAATGGATGTAACAGATATCTGTAGAATAATTCATCCTAATATACCCTTTTCTCAGCACCTCATGGTAACTTCTCCAAAATTAGACCATACAATTGATCACAAAACAGGCCTCAACAGATACAAGAAGATTCCAGTAATCCCATGGATCCTATGAGATCACCACAGACTAAGGCTGGTCTTCAATAATGACAAAAACAATGGAAGCCCACATACACATGGAAACTGAATAACACTCTACTCAATGATAAAGTGGTCAGGGAAGAAATAAAAAAAGAAATTAAAGACTTTTTATAATTTAATGAGAATGAAGACACATAATACCAAAACTTATGGGACACAATGAAAGCAGTGCTAAGAGGAAAACTCACAGCTCTAAGTGTCTACAAAAAGAAACTGGAGAGAGCATACACTAGCAGCTTGACAACTCACCTAAAAGCTCTAGAACAAAAAGAAGCAAAGACACCGAAAAGGAGTAGATGGCAGGAAATAATCAAACTCAGGGCTGAAATCAACCAAGTTGAAACAAAAAGAGCTATACAAAGAATCAATAAAACCAGGAGCTGATTCTTGAGAAAAACAAGATAGAAAAACCCTTCACCAGATTAATCAGAGGGCAGAGAAACAATATCCAAGTTAATAAAATCAGAACTGAAAAGGATGCCATAACAACAGAAACTGAAGAAAATTTTAAAAATCATCAGCTCCAACTACAAAAGCCTATACTCAACAAAATTGGAAAATCAGGATGAAATAGTTTTCTAGTCAGATACCAGTTACCGAAGTTAAATCAGGCTCAGATAAAGCATCTAAACAGCTACATAAACCCAAAAGAAACAGAAGCAGTCATTAAAAGACTCCCAACCAAAAAAAGTCCTGGACCAGATAGTTTTAGTGCAGAGCCCTATCAGACCTTCAAAGAAGACCCAATACCAATATCTATAAACTGTTCTACAAAATATAAACAAAGGAACACTCTCCAATTAATTCTATGAAACCACAATTATGCTCATACCTAAACCACACAAAGACCCAATGAAGAGAACTTCAGACCAATCTCCCTTAAGAATATTGATGCAAAAATACTCAATAAAATTGTTGCAAGCCGAATCCAAGAACACATCAAAACAATCATCCATCATGATCAAGTAGGCTTTGTCCCAGGAATATAGAGATGGCTCAATATTTGGAAATCTACCAATATAATCCACTATATAAACACACTCAAAGGAAAAAAAACACATGATCATATCACTAGATGTGGAGAAAGCATTTGACAAAATTCAATACACCTTCATGGTACAAGTCTTGGAAAGATCAGGAATCCAAGGACCATACTGAATCATACTTAAAACAATATACAGCAAACCAGTAGCCAATATCAAACTAAATGGAGAGAAACTTGAAGCAATCCCACTGAAATCATCGACTACACAAGGCTGCCCACTCTCTCTCCCCCTACCTATTCAATATAGTACTGGAAGTCCTAGCCATAGCAATTAGGCAACAAAAAGACGCCAAAGGGATACAAATAGGAAACGA